TTAAAATTTTATTATAAAAATTAATTTTTTAAAAAAAGATGCAGGCAAATTTGCATGCAATACAATTTAAGAGATAAGTATTCATTTTGTAGGTTGCATCAACCAAAATAACTTCTGAAAAGTGTTTTGCAATTTTAACTAAATTTTTATAGCAGAAAAAGAGATGCTTGATATGTCTATCTGTATTAATTCAATATTATATAAGAATTTCTAAAATAATTTTAATAAAATAAAAAATGAAATATAAAAATATTTATCTTTTTGAGTTTTACGATGGACTGTATATCCTCTTTCTTTCATGTCTATTATTAATGCTTCTATTGAGAAATTTTTTTCTAAAATATAAGTTTATGAACTCAGATTTAATATATCTCTTCTTGTCACAGTTGGCTCTCTATTCTCATCTCTAATAGCTTCATAAATTGTACTAGGTTTTGCACTAGCTTTTAGCATTTGCACAGCTATATGCTTTGCTTCTTGTAGTAATTGATGATGTTCATAAAAAATTCTTATATCTTTAGTCTTAGAATGATTATATTTATTCATTACTTTAATAATCTTCTATTTAGAATCTCTTGAAACAGCCTTTACTAAATATGGGCATTCATAACGCTTGCTCATTCTTTTTTTTGATGTATTTCCTTTGTTAAATTTGAAGTATTTTAGTACTGACCACTGCATTTACACTAAAGATGGAAGTGACGATAACTACTACTTTTAACAGTTACAGCAAATCCTGAAATCTGAACTATTTTCTGAACAAAATTTAGAATATCTTTCTTGGTAGTATAAGATTGTTCAAGCATTTTACAAGCTATATAATAGAGAAAAGAGTTAATAAGTAATTATATAAATTATAATTATAGTACATATTTTACAAGTCTTTACTTTTTGTTTCAAATATTTCTTCATTTTCTTTATTTGATACTGTTTTATTCTCATCACTAGATTCAGCCTCATCATTATTTTCAATAGATTCAATTTCATCATTTTCATTAAATTCAGATTTGGTATCTTCATTATATCTGAAGTTACTTGAATTTTCAAGACAATTCATTTGCAACAAGGATTAAACGTCTAGTACTACAATACTATATTCCAGATAATATTAAGTTTTTTATTTTGCTTATTATTTATTTTTTATTTTTTATTTAAAATTTTTATTACATATACAATTGGAATTAATAACAAACTTTT